TGAGTATGTCAGGTCTAGAAGTTTTCTAAAACATGGTACTTTTCTCTATGTCCATGCAAATGTCGGGTCTAGAAGTTGTCTAAAACATGGTACTTTTCTCTATATCCATGCAAATGTCGGGTCTAGAAGTTGTCTAAAACCTGGTACTTTTCTCTATATCCCTGCAAATGTCGGGTCTAGAAGTTGTCTAAAACATGGTACTTTTCTCTATGTCCATGCATATGTCAGGTCTAGAAGTTGTCTAAAACATGGTACTTTTCTCTATGTCCATGCATATGTCAGGTCTAGAAGTTGTCTAAAACCTGGTACTTTTCCCTATGTCCATGCATATGTCAGGTCTAGAAGTTGTCTAAAACCTGGTACTTTTTTCTAAGTCCATGCGTATGTCAGGTCTAAAAGTTGTCTAAAACATGGTACTTTTCTCTATGTCCATGCATATGTCAGGTCTAGAAGTTGTCTAAAACATGGTACTTTTCTCTATGTCCATGAGTATGTCAGGTCTAAAGGTTGTCTAAAACATGGTACTTTTCTCTATGTCCATGAGTATGTCAGGTCTAAAAGTTGTCTAAAACATGGTACTTTTCTCTATGTCCATGCATATGTCGGGTCTAGAAGTTGTCTAAAACCTGGTACTTTCTTCTGCAGACTGGCCTAGCTGTGATATTATACATCAAAGAGAATTAACAACTGATTCCTCCATTCTGGTCAATTCTGTGCAGTTTTTTCCCCGTTATTATTGTGTATTAGTCTAGTCCAGCAACTCTGAACTCTCCACATCAACATTCTTCAGTGTTTCTTGGACGTCCTTGCTATAGCAGTCAGAAACCGACTCCATCCAATCCACAACAGCACTTCCTTGTGTGACTAAGGCATGCTCCCGTACAATATGTCTAGTCATTGTCCAGACCTCATCAGTTAAGTTTCCCCAGCGGTTCTTTCCAGATTAGGGAAGCATTTACATTCAAATCTGGAAACCTAATTAATGCCATAATCTGCAAGAGATTAAACAAGGCAATGATTGAGGATATTGACAGGAAGCAAGCTTATTGGTTCTGGAAGCATCTCTCCTAAACTTAAATGAAGACCCTCAAACCATTCCCTCTCCATTTCAACAGCTCTGACCACAGAGGAAAAGACGATACATCTGTTACCATGATAAAATCTTGCTCTGATGATCATACCATACATCTCTGTATGGAAAATCAGCTTCTCCATAGTCTAGGTGTTTTAAGCCCGGCAGTATAAATGTTGAACATGCCTTCATCTAAACAGTTGACTGACTGACTTTCTACCCCACCAGGACATCACACAAGCGATAAACACCTTATGACACAAAGTGCCATTATGTGGATGAGGATCACCGTGGAGAGGTCCCAGAAACCGCGTTCAGACAATTGGCCATACTGATGGCCTGCCTATATTGCAGCCCCTGGCAAAAGCCAGAGTGGGGCTTCACATAACAAAAAATTACGTCCTGAAAAGGACGTAAAGAGAGTACTTTTAGAATATCTAAACAGTTGTACTATTCTTACTTTCATTTTATTTGATTTCCTATTATTTTTTAAAATTCTATTTGTTGTTAATAATATTTATGGATCAGCATTTTTATTTCTACTACTATTATACATTATCACTATTACTTTTAAAACTATTTTTTAGCCTTCATTTATTTTATTTAGTCCATATCACCTTTTTTCTTCCCATTTAAAAAAAATAGTTATTCAGTGATCCTCGGGTAGTACTGTTGGTTGAAGTACTTTCCCCTGTGATATTTTTTGTGTAGTTTATGTTTATGTTTATTGGACGGTTTAACATCATGGCATATTTTAACATCATGGCACATAGTAACATCATGTAAGCCATAAGTGCTCCGTTCTACTTATAACACAAGTCCGAGTCTGAAGAATCTCAGCGCAGTGCACGAACTTTGTTGCATCGGCAAGGATCCTGAAATACTTTGGGTAGATTTTTAACTTCAACTTTTTGTCCAGGCAGTGCCATTAAGCTACTCTTTATGATTTCCAAATGCCAAGAGTCTTTTGTGTGTGAAGAATATACCCGGGTGTCCGTTGTTACTACCTAGAGACCAGAGGAAATTATTAGAAGCCCACCTGAACAAATGCCAGCCTTCACCAGGGCTTGAACCTGGGACTTTCAACACTGGAGGTGGACACCATACCTTGAGACCACTCAACGAAGTTACAAAATGATGATGACGACACTAGCATTGTGGTGAGGCAGGACATGCCGGAGGGTCTCGGAGGTCAACCTTAGATGTGGAGATGAAAGTCGCAGGACATGCTGGAGGGTCTCGGAGGTCAACCTTAGATGTGGAGATGAAAGTCGCAGGACATGCTGGAGGGTCTCGGAGGTCAACCTTAGATGTGGAGATGAAAGTCGCAGGACATGATGGAGGGTCTCGGAGGTCAACCTTAGATGTGGAGATGAAAGTCGCAGGACAAATATGACTGATGGTGACTCAATACATCTTGCTGATACAAGTTGGGACTTGTCACTTTATCTATACAACATCTTTTCTGATGATACAAGTTGGGACTTGTCACTTTATCTATACCACATCTTTTCTGATGATACAAGTTGGGACTTGTCACTTTATCTATACCACATCTTTTCTGATGATACAAGTTGGGACTTGTCACTTTATCTATACCACATCTTTTCTGATGATACAAGTTGGGACTTGTCACTTTATACCACATCTTTTCTGATGATACAAGCTGGACTTGCAACTATTGCCACTTTACCTATACATTTTGTTGATACACGTTTAGATTTGTGATGAATGTCTCTGTAGAGTATATTCTGTAGACAAGTGGTAACTATCATTACTTTGAATAGACTCCACCTAGCTGATCAGATTTGACTATGTCATTTTATAGATACCTCATCTGTTTGACAAGATTTCCCTTTATCAAATTATTAGAAGTTAGTTGCGTATCTTTACAGGACGTTGCAGAACCAACCCTACCATTTTTTTGGGCTGTTTTTCTAGGCAAATTTAATGTTCAGTAATTTATCACTGCTTTTTTAATGACCAGCTCTCAGTACCACTGTCAAAATCAGTGCAAGACAAACCGCCAACAGTTAGGATCGAACCCAGCACCTCGTCATTACGAAGCGCGTTCGCAACGCCTTAGCCACAGACACAGACTATCACATTATTTATACCACAATTTGTTGACCAGATGTGACACTGTCACTGTATTTATGCAATCCTTGTAACCACTTGACAAATAATAGAACTTCTGCTATGATTTCACAACAGCTACTGTATTTATAAAGTCTTGGCATCCAAATGAACAAGTTCGTTCTTGTATTGTTAGCACTAATTGATCAATACAAATGACAATCAAATATGTTCACAAATGAAATACAAGAAGAAAATCCAGGGCACAGCTGACCACTGCACATAATTAGGTCACAAATATCACTGGACATCAACAACAGGTTTTCTGACAGTTGCTTCACTGAGCAAGATAACACTTCACAGTGGTTGTGATTTGATAGCAGACGACGCTGTAGGGCTTGACCAATGGTCAGGGTTTCACAAACAATAGGTCACAGCAAATATGTGGTTGGATGGCTTTGTTCTCTTCTATCACATCATCTTTTTCCTATCGAAGACACTGGGTGTATAACATGGTGGTGACAACTCCATGACACTGAAAGTCAGGACTCTACAGGAAGGGATCATTCGATGATGGTACAAGGACTAACAGGGAAGCCAACCCCTGCCCCAAGCTTGTGGAATAACAGACCTTCATATATACCAGGTAATGAACTCACGGGTTGAGGAGACGCGTTCCCTTCTTTGTCAACAATCCTCAAGAACCACGTTCCCTTCTTTGTCAACAATCCTCAAGAACGGCGTTCCCTTCTTTGTCAACAATCATCAAGAACCGCATTCCCTTCTTTGTCAAATCCTCAAGAACCGAGTTCCCTTCTTTGTCAACAATCCTCAAGAACCACGTTCCCTTCTTTGTCAACAATCCTCAAGAACCGCGTTCCCTTCTTTGTCAACAATCCTCAAGAACCACATTCCCTTCTTTGTCAACAATCCTCAAGAACAGAGTTCCCTTCTTTGTCAACAATCCTCAAGAATCGTGTTCCCTTCTTTGTCAACAATCCTCAAGAACCACGTTCCCTTCTTTGTCAACAATCCTCAAGAACCGCGTTCCCTTCTTTGTCAACAATCCTCAAGAACCGCGTTCCCTTCTTTGTCAACAATCCTCAAGAACCGCGTTCCCTTCTTTGTAAACAATCCTCAAGAACCACGTTCCCTTCTTTGTCAACAATCCTCAAGAACCGCGTTCCCTTCTTTGTCAACAATCCTCAAGAACCACGTTCCCTTCTTTGTCAACAATCCTCAAGAACCGCGTTCCCTTCTTTGTCAACAATCCTCAAGAACCGCGTTCCTTTCTTTGTCAACAATCCTCAAGAAAATGTTCTGATGACAATCCAGGTCAACATGTTTCCTCACAGGTGGCTGGAGCCTGAAGTCATCCTGTAACTACTGCAGTCTAACTCCAAACCGTCTCAATGGACCACATCTGCACTCACTCACTCACTCACCCACCCACCCCACTCATACACACACACACACACGAATAAACATAAAGACATCATATATATATATATATATATATATATATATATATATATATATATATATATATATATATATATATATATATATATATATATATATATATATATATATATATATATATATATATATATATATATATAGATATGTACAGAAATGCACACATGTAAGTATTCACATATATTATCAACATAATAATCACTTGTATAGACCTGACAAGGTGTGTATCAGAAAGTGTTGAATCACAAGTACACAAACTTTTTATTATTGTAATTTACATCACAAATTATCTGTACAGTTACATAAAGGTATGCATACATAACTATATATTCAAATCTCAAGCCAAACTGGTAGAAGAGAGCTACTGAAGTGCTCAACTACTTTCCTCATCAGTCTGCCTGTAGTAAAGAAGAAAGGCTTTCAAAGAACTGGGGATTGGCAGACTTTCAACTTTCTCTCTTAAAAATGCAGAAAAATCTGGTCCCCGTGGTGAAGACTTTGACTGATCACCAGCTTCACTGTCGTCACCACTTCTTTCTTTCTGACCACCACATTTATGATCATCAATGTTTTTGCTCTTCTTGACTTTGGATCCTCCCTCGTGTTCATCGTCTTCATCCTCGGTATCTATCCATGTGGCATCGTTGCTGTCAGCTGTCAGGCTGTCATAGTCGACACTAGATTCCCCGAAGGAAGACTTGGACCTAGGACTTCTCTTGTTGTTTGGAGCTGGTGATGAGGACACAGGCAGGAAGTCCTCCCCTGTGATCTCCATGTCATCTTTCAGGGAGCCAAGTCCTGACAGCTGGGAGCTGGTATGAATAGCATCATCGACCAATGAGCCAAAGCCGGAGGTGTCAGCGCTGGTGCTGTAAGATTCCCTGATGCCTCGAGGCACTGGCACACCTGATGATGGAGTCACCTGGATTGCTGGCGAGCGGGCGTTATACTCGGATGGCAGGACATCGTTATGTCCCACTTGACATGATGCCGCTTCAGTGGCTGTAGAATCGCTGCCCACTACTGCTGGAACTGTAGAGTCGTCTCTTCTGCTAGGGGACATAATCGTGAGAATCCTCTCTGCTATATTCTCATAAGGATTACTGCTAGTGCAAGCAAAAGTACCTCCAACTACACCGCTTCCTGCATCAGGGTCTCCACCATTAGATCTCCTGTAGTTTCCATTTCTCTCCACACGTTTGTGTTCCGCTGCGGAGGATTCCCTGGTGGCCCGCTGGTTCTCTTCCACAACATCCATGTCCCCATCTTGGTGATCTCCATTCTCACTGTTGCTCGACACCACGCTGGAGTTTTTATTCCCATTGATATCTTTAGAGTCTGCAACATGGACACCCTCATCCTCCATATCCGACAGGTCAGAATCCACATCATTAGTTGTATTCTTTGAGGACCTGTCTCTAGAACGAAGCTCGGTGACATGTCGGCGCAGATGACGGTTGAGGTCGAGGATGCTGTGTATTCCGGAGCCTCTGCTGTTTTCACTGCCATCATCTTCCCCTTCATCGCTGCTATCAAAGGCTGCCAAAAGCATCAAGCCTTGTGCCGTGGGAAGGATATTCAGAGGGTGTCTGCCAGCGTCGGAGCGGAAATACTTGGTTGTCTTGATGTGCTTCACCTTGTTTCCCGGCTCACTGGCCTCTGGCAGGTTGAAGTCAAAGGTGTTCCTGATAGCATCCCGGATGATAACACGACACAGGCATTGCAGAGACATGGGGTTGACGTCAGCTGTCAGTGAGAACAGTTAACAACAAAGTCAGTTTACAGAATTAAATCTAACTATCAAAGATGTACAGAACATAATCTACTACAACAATAGTTCAATAGTTAGGTTTTGTGAATCCTTGACTGAAGAACCAACTGAAGCATTTGTAACTGTTTGGTTATGACAGGCAATTTGGTGATTATTAGTTTGCCACAGCTTTTTTCAATGCTTTGCTCTGGATACCCCAGTCAAAGTCAATGTACAGCAGTCTGAAACCAAGAAATGTGTGTCAACTGTCAAGAAGAAACACAATGGTACCGACTGTCTAGGGGCAAGAGGAGATGAGCTTTATTACAATGACAGGTTGGTATCAATTCTCAAAGGGAAGCAGAATGATGTCAATCATCACAGGGAAGCAGAATGGTGTCAATCATCACAGGGAAGCAGAATGGTGTCAATCATCACAAGGAAGTAGAATGGTGTCAATCATCACAGGGAAGCAAAATGGTGTCAATCATCAGAGGGAAGTAGAATGGTGTCAATCATCCCAGGGAAGCAGAATGGTGTCAATCATCACAGGGAAGTAGAATGGTGTCAATCATACCAGGGAAGTAGAATAGTGTCAATCATCACAGGGAAGTAGAATGGTGTCAATCATCACAGGGAAGTAGAATGGTGTCAATCATCACAGGGAAGTAGAATGGTGTCACTCATCCCAGGGAAGCAGAATGGTGTCAATCATCACAGGGAAGTAGAATGGTGTCACTCATCACAGGGAAGCAGAATGGTGTCATTCATCACAGGGAAGCAGAATGGTTTCAATCATCACAGGGAAGTAGAACGGTGTCAATCATCACAAGGAAGTAGAATGGTGTCAATCATCACAAGGAAGTAGAATGGTGTCAATCATCACAGGGAAGCAGAATGGTGTCAATCATCAGAGGGAAGTAGAATGGTGTCAATCATCCCAGGGAAGCAGAATGGTGTCAATCATCACAGGGAAGTAGAATGGTGTCAATCATCACAGGGAAGTAGAATGGTGTCACTCATCACAGGGAAGTAGAATGGTGTCAATCATCACAAGGAAGTAGAATGGTGTCACTCATCACAGGGAAGCAGAATGGTGTCATTCATCACAGGGAAGCAGAATGGTTTCAATCATCACAGGGAAGTAGAACGGTGTCAATCATCACAAGGAAGTAGAATGGTGTCAATCATCACAAGGAAGTAGAATGGTGTCAATCATCACAGGGAAGCAGAATGGTGTCAATCATCAGAGGGAAGTAGAATGGTGTCAATCATCCCAGGGAAGCAGAATGGTGTCAATCATCACAGGGAAGTAGAATGGTGTCAATCATCACAGGGAAGTAGAATGGTGTCACTCATCACAGGGAAGTAGAATGGTGTCAATCATCCCAGGGAAGTAGAATGGTGTCAATCATCACAGGGAAGCAGAATGGTGTCAATCATCACAGGGAAGTAGAATGGTGTCAATCATCACAGGGAAGTAAAATGGTGTCAATCATCACAAGGAAGTAGAATGGTGTCACTCATCACAGGGAAGCAGAATGGTGTCAATCATCACAGGGAAGTAGAATGGTGTCAATCATCCCAGGGAAGCAGAATGGTGTCAATCATCCCAGGGAAGTAGAATAGTGTCAATCATCACAGGGAAGCAGAATAGTGTCAATCATCACAGGGAAGTAGAATGGTGTCAATCATCACAGGGAAGTAGAATGGTGTCAATCATCCCAGGGAAGCAGAATGGTGTCAATCATCACAGGGAAGTAGAATGGTGTCAATCATCACAGGGAAGCAGAATGGTGTCAATCATCACAGGGAAGTAGAATGGTGTCAATCATCACAGGGAAGTAGAATGGTATCAATCATCACAGGGAAGTAGAATGGTGTCACTCATCACAAGGAAGTAGATTAGTGTCACTCAGCACAGGGAAGCAGAATGGTGTCAATCATCACAGGGAAGAAGAATGGTGTCATGTCACGAGGGAACCAGAAACTATCGGCCAGCACATTTGCTGCTCATTTTCCCACCATTTTCAATGACAGCGTGGGCATGGCTGGTATCATTCTCCTCATTCAGACTCTTCTAACTTCACAACTACCCTCATGTCAAGCATACTTCCCTATGGCCAACACCTACATGACTGGTGTTTTCTGTATCACACTGACCCTCATGTCAAGCATACTTCCCTATGGCCAACACCTACATGACTGGTGTTTTCTGTATCACAATGACCCTCATGTCAAGCATACTTCCCTATGGCCAACACCTACATGACTGGTGTTTTCTGTATCACAACGACCCTCATGTCAAGCATACTTCCCTATGGCCAACACCTACATGACTGGTGTTTTCTGTATCACAAGGACCCTCATGTCAAGCATACTTCCCTATGGCCAACACCTACATGACTGGTGTTTTCTGTATCACAAGGACCCTCATGTCAAGCATACTTCCCTATGGCCAACACCTACATGACTGGTGTTTTCTGTATCACAACTACCCTCATGTCAAGCATACTTCCCTATGGCCAACACCTACATGACTGGTGTTTTCTGTATCACAACTACCCTCATGTCAAGCATACTTCCCTATGGCCAACACCTACATGACTGGTGTTTTCTGTATCACAATGACCCTCATGTCAAGCATACTTCCCTATGGCCAACACCTACATGACTGGTGTTTTCTGTATCACACTGACCCTCATGTCAAGCATACTTCCCTATGGCCAACACCTACATGACTGGTGTTTTCTGTATCACAATGACCCTCATGTCAAGCATACTTCCCTATGGCCAACACCTACATGACTGGTGTTTTCTGTATCACAATGACCCTCATGTCAAGCATACTTCCCTATGGCCAACACCTACATGACTGGTGTTTTCTGTATCACAAGGACCCTCATGTCAAGCATACTTCCCTATGGCCAACACCTACATGACTGGTGTTTTCTGTATCATAAGGACCCTCATGTCAAGCATACTTCCCTATGGCCAACACCTACATGACTGGTGTTTTCTGTATCACAAGGACCCTCATGTCAAGCATACTTCCCTATGGCCAACACCTACATGACTGGTGTTTTCTGTATCACAACTACCCTCATGTCAAGCATACTTCCCTATGGCCAGCACCTACATGACTGGTGTTTTCTGTATCACAACTACCCTCATGTCAAGCATACTTCCCTATGGCCAACACCTACATGACTGGTGTTTTCTGTATCACAATGACCCTCATGTCAAGCATACTTCCCTATGGCCAACACCTACATGACTGGTGTTTTCTGTATCACACTGACCCTCATGTCAAGCATACTTCCCTATGGCCAACACCTACATGACTGGTGTTTTCTGTATCACAATGACCCTCATGTCAAGCATACTTCCCTATGGCCAACACCTACATGACTGGTGTTTTCTGTATCACAAGGACCCTCATGTCAAGCATACTTCCCTATGGCCAACACCTACATGACTGGTGTTTTCTGTATCACAATGACTCTCATGTCAAGCATACTTCCCTATGGCCAACACCTACATGACTGGTGTTTTCTGTATCACAAGGACCCTCATGTCAAGCATACTTCCCTATGGCCAACACCTACATGACTGGTGTTTTCTGTATCACAAGGACCCTCATGTCAAGCATACTTCCCTATGGCCAACACCTACATGACTGGTGTTTTCTGTATCACAACTACCCTCATGTCAAGCATACTTCCCTATGGCCAACACCTACATGACTGGTGTTTTCTGTATCACAACTACCCTCATGTCAAGCATACTTCCCTATGGCCAACACCTACATGACTGGTGTTTTCTGTATCACAATGACCCTCATGTCAAGCATACTTCCCTATGGCCAACACCTACATGACTGGTGTTTTCTGTATCACACTGACCCTCATGTCAAGCATACTTCCCTATGGCCAACACCTACATGACTGGTGTTTTCTGTATCACAATGACCCTCATGTCAAGCATACTTCCCTATGGCCAACACCTACATGACTGGTGTTTTCTGTATCACAATGACCCTCATGTCAAGCATACTTCCCTATGGCCAACACCTACATGACTGGTGTTTTCTGTATCACAACTACCCTCATGTCAAGCATACTTCCCTATGGCCAACACCTACATGACTGATGTTTTCTGTATCACACTGACCCTCATGTCAAGCATACTTCCCTATGGCCAACACCTACATGACTGGTGTTTTCTGTATCACACTGACCCTCATGTCAAGCATACTTCCCTATGGCCAACACCTACATGACTGGTGTTTTCTGTATCACACTGACCCTCATGTCAAGCATACTTCCCTATGGCCAACACCTACATGACTGGTGTTTTCTGTATCACAAGGACCCTCATGTCAAGCATACTTCCCTATGGCCAACACCTACATGACTGGTGTTTTTCTGTATCACAAGGACCCTCATGTCAAGCATACTTCCCTATGGCCAACACCTACATGACTGGTGTTTTCTGTATCACAAGGACCCTCATGTCAAGCATACTTCCCTATGGCCAACACCTACATGACTGGTGTTTTCTGTATCACACTGACCCTCATGTCAAGCATACTTCCCTATGGCCAACACCTACATGACTGGTGTTTTCTGTATCACAACGACCCTCATGTCAAGCATACTTCCCTATGGCCAACACCTACATGACTGGTGTTTTCTGTATCACAAGGACCCTCATGTCAAGCATACTTCCCTATGGCCAACACCTACATGACTGGTGTTTTCTGTATCACAACGACCCTCATGTCAAGCATACTTCCCTATGGCCAACACCTACATGACTGGTGTTTTCTGTATCACACTGACCCTCATGTCAAGCATACTTCCCTATGGCCAACACCTACATGACTGGTGTTTTCTGTATCACAACGACCCTCATGTCAAGCATACTTCCCTATGGCCAACACCTACATGACTGGTGTTTTCTGTATCACAAGGACCCTCATGTCAAGCATACTTCCCTATGGCCAACACCTACATGACTGGTGTTTTCTGTATCACAACGACCCTCATGTCAAGCATACTTCCCTATGGCCAACACCTACATGACTGGTGTTTTCTGTATCACAACGACCCTCATGTCAAGCATACTTCCCTATGGCCAACACCTACATGACTGGTGTTTTCTGTATCACAAGGACCCTCATGTCAAGCATACTTCCCTATGGCCAACACCTACATGACTGGTGTTTTCTGTATCACAAGGACCCTCATGTCAAGCATACTTCCCTATGGCCAACACCTACATGACTGGTGTTTTCTGTATCACAACGACCCTCATGTCAAGCATACTTCCCTATGGCCAACACCTACATGACTGGTGTTTTCTGTATCACAATGACCCTCATGTCAAGCATACTTCCCTATGGCCAACACCTACATGACTGGTGTTTTCTGTATCACAAGGACCCTCATGTCAAGCATACTTCCCTATGGCCAACACCTACATGACTGGTGTTTTCTGTATCACAAGGACCCTCATGTCAAGCATACTTCCCTATGGCCAACACCTACATGACTGGTGTTTTCTGTATCACAAGGACCCTCATGTCAAGCATACTTCCCTATGGCCAACACCTACATGACTGGTGTTTTCTGTATCACAAGGACCCTCATGTCAAGCATACTTCCCTATGGCCAACACCTACATGACTGGTGTTTTCTGTATCACAAGGACCCTCATGTCAAGCATACTTCCCTATGGCCAACACCTACATGACTGGTGTTTTCTGTATCACAATGACCCTCATGTCAAGCATACTTCCCTATGGCCAACACCTACATGACTGGTGTTTTCTGTATCACAACGACCCTCATGTCAAGCATACTTCCCTATGGCCAACACCTACATGACTGGTGTTTTCTGTATCACTCTACCAATAGCATCTGTTATGTGTCTTAGGCGTTTATTTTTCTTCTTCTTGAGATTCAGTGGCTGTAAACTGCAGGTGAATCTTCTGGTTGTTCATGAACTTCTGCACTTTGGTCATGTTCCAGAACTTAAGTTTTATGTGCACATCCATTTAACAGATCTAGCTTATTTATATGCAGACTGTTGGTTCCTAACCTTTCAGGAAGATGCACCTTGACTTTGAAAGAAATGTCCCTAATTAGTTGCCTATTATGACATTCTTGTTGGGGAAAGTGGGGGGGGGGGGGGGGGGGGGGGGGCAGTAAGTCTGTTCTTCTTGTCCCCCAAAACTTTATCTAAATTTTTAACAGAACTGCCAAACATCAAAGAACTCACGCAGGACAATCAGGCTGTGATTGGTCTCTGACGGAAATGGCACGATCAGGGAAGCAAATGAGACCGGTAGCACATTTTCAGAAATGAACTCAGTCTCAGCAATTCTCTTGATCTTCAGCAACTGGAAATAAATGTAGATCTTTATCAATTAGAAATCAGATTAGATCTAGTCTTTAGCCAGCTAACTTAAAAATTTCTTGAGACACTGACAATGGGTCTCTCTAGAACTAAGTGGTTCAGTTGCAAGCCTCATGATTTAAAGGTCACGGGGTCATTTCATAGATTGCATCACCCAGTTTATGAGTAGACATTGTTGCAGTGAACCTATTCTTTTACACGAAGAAATAGGGTCCAGAAAGTCATGCGGATGCTTCTGGATCCAAACATTAGGGTCCAGAAAGTAATGCGGATGCTTCTGGATCCAAACATTAGGGTCCAGAAAGTAATGCGGATGCTTCTGGATCCAAACATTAGGGTCCAGAAAGTAATGCGGATGCTTTTGGATCCAAACATTAGGGTCCAGAAAGTCATGCGGATGCTTCTGGATCCAAACCAAGAGAGTTTATTTGCTGTGCAAAGATTCTCCTTGGAAATGTAGCAAAAATAACAGGCATCACTGAAGGGTATGTTTTTATGCAGCAAAAGTGAATCTTCACAAATTATATTGTTTCACAGTTTATAATTAAAAAGCTTCCTTGTGCACACATGAATGAGTCAGATGATTTTTACTTCACTAACTATCAGTAAATATAACCAAAAGACATCACAAAAAACAATTCTAAAGGGTCAAACAAATCACCTTACATCATGTTGTGTTTTGAACAGAAGTGTGAAGGTTTAAATTCACTTGATTTATACTAAAACTTACAGCACATCTTCCACCAGATGTCAGATCACACATCATCATGGTATAGAAAGTCGTTAGTCAAATATTGCTTCTATCATAATCCTTCACCATTTAACCTGCCTTATGCTGCAGCAAAAATCATCTGAGGGGATTAAAGGGGTGACCGTTTATTAACCCTCATATAATTCTTCCGGTCAAAATGGACGCTAGGTACGGCCACCTTTTTTTTTTTAAGCCTTGGCAAATATTTTTCCAGACGGTGGCCGTTGCATTTTTGCTCCATTTGTAGACTGGAAGGATGTAGTTTCGTCGCCCAGCTTCTGAGGTGAGTGCATGGCGTGACACTGTGAGCTGCGTTTGTTTTTCGTTGGCACAGGAGCGGAGCATGTGTGGGGTGACCCGTTTGCTATGAAGCTGAAACTAGGATTACCAGATTACCAGATTACATACTTCCTGTTTACCTATCCCGGCGATTGACATCATCGTCAAATTTATTTACCTGATCGCCAATAGGTATAACCAGTATCCCGTTGACTTTGATCATGTTCTGAATGGTCTCCCTCTGTTCTGGAGGACAGGAAGCTCCGCAGTAAACCCTGTCATACAGGCGGTTCTCAGGTGCCAGGTTGAGACAGTTCCCAACCACAAACTGTGGCTCACACAGTTCCAGGTCATCAAACTTTTTACTGGTCTGAATAAAACTCTCCAGTTTCTTGTTAGCATAGGCCACATTGTCTGAGTGAAGTTCTATGCCATGGTTGACTCCAAACGGACCTGCACAGGCAAGACAACATTTCATCACATTTATATTACCAATACAATTATCTATAAACTTTTGTTTTGAAAACAACATTCCCTGTAATATATATATATATATATATATATATTATATATATATATATATATATATATATATATATATATATATATATATATATATATATATATATATATATATATAATAATTATATATATATATATATATGAACTATTAATTTCACTTTCATGTGTCAAACAGAGAATAGGGTAACTTTCAATAGCGATTTTCTCATCATCATCATCGTCACCATCATCATCATCATGTAGCAAATGCTCTTCCGCATGTAACTCCCAACATTACTCCCCAGGCAGATCCTGGATCCTTCAATAGATCCTGTGCCTCCATGTGCTTTCATGCTCAAAAAACCTTCCACTTCCTGCATCCCAGGTCATGTTGGTTGACCCCTGTCTCATCTTCCGGAAACCATGTCTTCCCTTACACTAATTTCTAAACCCCCAAGATGTTCAATATAGTCCAAACATTTCAATTCCTGGATTTTACAAAATTACAACGGACAGTGAAGTTCATACTAGAGATATCATTTCAGATATAGATAATTTATTTCAAGCGAAGGAAAGAAGAAGTTCCTGGGAGATATTGCCCATGAGTCTTTTATTATCTATGTTCAGATCTTTGAAACTGTCAGTCATTTTCTTCATCTTCTTCTTGATTCACAGAATCCTAGACAGTTCTATGTGACAATTGAAGTTACAAAACTAGAATTAACTTTCTGAGCCCGAACAATGCATGATGTGTGAATCACTTTATTTGTCGAATCCCTCCCGAGCTCAACCCTTTGGAGTCGGAGGCTTATTTAAAGTTTCAGTGACAAGAAGCCAAAGTCTCTAAGAGGGAATCCATCTAATTTACATAAAACTAGACAAATAAAGAATTAAATTAACACATACAAAACTGATATACTCGTGCTGGATATTGAATAAACTAACACAATCTTTCTCAATCACACTGAAATCTAAATATTCCATAATCTCACTAACATAATTAAAACAATGTTCCACTGTTGTGAATGTGAGCAAATATGCCACAAACAACAGATTGAAGAACAATGCATTTCAAATTCTTTATAGGTCAACCAACCACAGATTGAAGAGCAATGCATTTCAAATACTTTATAGGTCAACCAACCACAGGTTGAAGAACAATGTATTACAAATTCTTTATACATCAACCAACCACAGGCTGAAGAACAATGCATCTTAAATTCTTTATATGTCAACCAACCACAGGTTGAAGAACAATGCATTTCAAATTCTTTATATGTCAACCAACCACAGGTTAAAAAACAATGCATTTCAAATTCTGTATATGTCTACCATCCACAGGTTGAAGAACAATGAATTTCAAATTCTTTATATGTCAACCAACCACAGGTTGAAGAACAATGCATTTCAAATTCTTAATATGTTAACCAACCACAGAATGCTTCACTATGTGGAAGTGACAAAAACAAACTGCTTTTGTACAAATTGATGGGATTTACAGAAGGACATGGTCGTGAACCTGCATTTGCTCTGGTGAAATAGGCACTTACTTTTGAATGTAATTGATTTTGTATTTTTTAAGAAGGATTTGTTTATTTTAATCAACTATTACTCTAGAATGTACCGAATGAGATTCAGCCACAAATGCCAGACAATCACTTGTGCAATCTATGTAGTATCTGACATGTCAACTATTGTCTGACATTTGCTCTGTGTTTTTGTTTTGTAACATGTCAATCTGGTGTCTGTGTTTTTTTGTAGTTATCTGACATGTCAATCTGCTGTCTGTGTTTTTGTTTGTAGTTATCTGAAATGTCAATCTGCTGTCTGTGTTTTTGTTTGTAGTTATCTGACATGTCAATCTGCTGTCTGTGTTTTTGTTTGTAGTTATCTGACATGTCAGGAATTTGGTTGACATCAAACAAGCACAAGTAACCTACCAATCATGAAACCAACCATTGTGTTGAGGTATCCAGTGCCACTTCCCAAATTAAGAAATGACAATCCCTTGGTCAGTTCTAAAGCTTCCATCACCTCCGAATAGATACAAGGAGCTGACAGGTGTAGTGTACCACTCTTCCATGCCAGGTCTTTGTATGCACTCTCTCTGGACTCGGCCAGGTAATAGTGGGCTCGATCCACAATCCGAAACACCCGCTCAACATCGGTCGTCTTGATATATCCGGCATCTTTTAGGTTATCTATCAGTTCATCATTGTCTTGGCCAGAACTAACCGCGCCTCCCATTTTTCAAGTCTTTCTCTTGGTGGCTGGAATGTATGTCCAATACTTGTATGTTGACAACTTTCGTCTTTCCAGACGAGAGTGTGCTTGTATATAATCAGAGTATGGGAAATTTGTCTGAAATAACAAGATAAACCAATTTAATTTTTTTCTCCACAGAAAACAAGACCTAAGAGAAAAGGGACAAGGAAATAATTTTTTTTTTTTAAATAAATGCAGAGCAAGACAGAATTGCATAAAAGAATTAGAAAAAAATCTTACGTTAACTGATAATGTAGGAAGTAAGTAGGCTATCCTCCGAATAACGGTCCCAAATTATCGAGGCCGAAAATTTACCCTAACAGGGCCTCAGTCACGTGAATTGCGTACTTCCAGGGACTATACCGCCACCACCGAATTGCGAACTTCCGGGGACTATACCGCCACCACCGAGAGATTGGGGCTAAACTACATGGCTGGGACTATACCGCCACCACCGAGAGATTGGGGCTAAACTACATGGCTGGGACTATACCGCCACCACCGAGAGATTGGGGCTAAACTACATGGCTGGGACTCACGAGCAAATAAAATGAAGGAAGCTGCAGGAGATGCGGTAGCTGCTGCGGGGATACTCTCGGCAGTGGCGGAAGTGCGCAATTTAAGTCGCCGGAAGTGCGTCATTGACACGTGACTGAAGCCCTGTTGGGGTATATTTTAGGCCTCGATAATTTGGGACCGTTATTCGGAGGATAGCCTAGGAAGTAATATAAACAGGCTGAAACTGACAATATAAAATTCATAAAGAAATGAAGATGGTGTGCTGAGCTTTAGATATCTAATTCAAAACTGGCACGATAAAACCTAGCTGCCAATCGCTATTTTAACAAATCAACAAAATAAAATGGCAGGTTTATTTTTCCTCGGTGGTTATTGTGTACTAAGGTGATAGGTCCATGTCTCTGCTGCCCACCAAAAACAGACTATTCTGTCTGCAAACAAAACACAACACTGATGACCTGTAACAGATGACAACCATGCTGGGGAACAGACAACACTGATGACCTGTAACAGATGACAAGTGTGCTGGGGAACAGACAACATTGTTTCCTGCAAGGTAGTCTGTATAATTCCCAAGGATACACCTAATGCAATCTACCAAGCACAGCAGCAAACCAATGGTAGTGCCACAAGTTACTGGCAGACTGACAGGTCTAGAGAACTGCAAGCCCATATTCTAATGACACAATGCTCACAAGGTTATCCAAATATTTATAGTAATTTGTATCACAACCACAACCCAAATCAAAGCAATATTTGAAACACTACAAATGCGAAATTGTTCTTAATTAAGTAATTATACAGTACAGAAGAAAAAAAAAACTATATACTCAGGGAACTCAGTAAACACTACCTATTGCAAGTATAACACTGAAGGTTAAACAAGATACCTTTTGAAAATAAAAATTAATACTAATACTATATGTTTCACAAATATTCACATTTCTACATAAGGCACCTATTTTGGAAAGGAAGAAATATTATTCATATAGAAAAACTATTAACAATGAAAATCTTTAAGTAAGTTGACAGAGATGGAATGAAATGAAATGGATAGCAATCAAATGCACTGTATCAAGATCGCATTAAAGTCAATGCAAATTGAATTATAAATACTGTACTTCATAGCAGTGTATGAAATATCAAACGCTACATATAGATCCATCCCATGAAATAATAATACAGATGAGAAAATCGAATATTAATCAGGAGAGCTTGTGGGGGATATTACAGATATAAACACCGTTATGTTATAACGAAGTTGTGTACTGGAGGAATTGCGTCAGTACAAGCTGGGGAAGGAGGAGACCATATTGTGGCAGCAGTCACTGACCTGAGATGGTCGTCGTCGCCTGAACGCAATCACAACTAAATAGAGCTTAGTCCGGGAAGTTAAACACATGGGAGTAGACTGTAGACACAGTAGAAGTGGACAAGACGACGGATTTACTTGTGAAGGCTGTAGAAAGGATGAGATGTGCTGATGGCTGCAGGAGATCGCGACGGAGCAGCTGAGCCTTGCAAAACGTAAACAACAACACTGACATGACGTCACCGAGCCCCAGAATTATTAAACAGACGGGGTTGGAACCACTTTTATTAGCACCATCATCAACCGTTTGCTACTTTTATAAATCCTCATGGTGAATCATTGTTTATTTTCTAATAAAAAATGAAAATAATGAGTGGTAGTTGGATCTCCCGACAGCAAACGATGGAAGAGCCAGTGCTGGGCTGCCCGCTGTTACCGGTACCTCCCGCCGACAGTCGATTGTTGTGGAGTTTGGGAGCCAGCCGTCCTCGCCTGTACCGTGCCTATCAAAAATATTATTTTAATTACCAAACTGCTGTAATTACTTATGAAACTGTGTTCTTCGGGTAATATGTATGTTGTTTTACACTTTTTACTAATTGTAAACGATATTGAATGCCACACAGTGTCTTAATTTAACAAAATTGCGCACACGAAAAGGGGAAGTGTTGTTTTCCCACCTCTTTTGCTTCTCAGGAACGCGTCTAGAAGGCACAGATGTCAGGTGTAAATGCCAACCTGTCGTCTCCTGCATGTTTTCATCACTTATTCTTGATTTTTTTCCACGTCCAAGGTCCCGGAGTTGAAGTGGACCGTGTTTTCCCCGCGGACAGGCAGTGGAGCACCAGCAGACGTCAGGGGCGCCGGCTCCAAGTTTCACTTCTGCCCCAGAGCTGCACCAGAACGAGGCAGGCCTCTCACCGCCACATCTTGGTCCATGTTTGGTCTATGCTCTCTCTCATTTGTCCATGTTCTGTCTTGCTGGTCCCTGCTTTCTGATGTTGGTCCATGTTCTCTCATTAGTCCATTCTTTCTCATGTTGGTCCATGTTCTCTCATTAGTTCATTCTTTCTCATGTTGGTCCATGTTCTCTCATTAGTTCATTCTTTCTCATGTTGGTCCATGTTCTCTCATTAGTCCATTCTTTCTCATGTTGGTCCATGTTCTCTCATTAGTCCATTCTTTCTTATGTTGGTCCATGTTCTCTCATTAGTTCATTCTTTCTCATGTTGGTCCATGTTCTCTCATTAGTTCATTCTTTCTCATGTTGGTCCATATTCTCTCTTATTGGAAGATTCATTCTCATGTTGGTCCATGTTTGGTCTATGTACTTTCTCCTTGGTCCATGTTCTGTCTTGTTAGTCCATACTTTCTCTTGTTCATCCATGTTCTCTGTTGTTGGTCCATGTTCTCTCTAATTGGTCCATGCTTTCTTATGTTAGTCCATGTTCTCTCTCATTGGTCCATGCTTTCTAATATTGGTCCATGTTCTCTCTCATTGGTCCATGCTTTCTTATGTTAGTCCATGTTCTCTCTCATTGGTCCATGCTTTCTAATATTGGTCCATGTTCTCTCTCATTGGTCTTATGTTAGTCCATGTTCTCTCTCATTTGTCCATGCTTTCTTATGTTAGTCCATGTTCTCTCTCATTGGTCCATGCTTTCTTATGTTAGTCCATGTTCTCTCTCATTGGTCCATGCTTTCTTATGTTAGTCCATGTTCTCTCTCATTGGTCCATGCTTTCTAATATTGGTCCATGCTTTCTTATGTTAGTCCATGTTCTCTCTCATTGGTCCATGCTTTCTAATTAGTAATATCGGTCCTTGCTTTCTAATGTTGGTCCATGCTTTCTAATGTTGGTCCATGCTTTCTAATGTTGGTCCATGTTGTCTTTATCTGGTCCATGCAGTCTCTAACTGGTCCATGCTCTCTCATGTTGGTCCATTCTTTCTTTTAGTTTTTTTCTCATTGGTCCATGCTTTCTCATATTGGTCCTTGCTTTTTCATGCTGCTCTCTCTAGTTGGTCATGTCCTCTCTTGCTGGTCCATGTTCCCTCTTGATAGTCAATGTCCTCTCTTGCTGGTCCATGTTCCCTCTTGATGGTCAATGTCCTCTCTTGTCTATGTTGTCTTGTTGCTCCATGCTATTTCTGTTGGTCAACCTTCTCTTGTGTGGTCCACGTTCTCTCTTATGTACCATGTTCTCTGTTGTTGGTCTACATTCTCTCTTGTTTGTCCATGTTCTTTTTTTGTGGTCCATGTTCTTTCTTGTTGAACCATGTTCTTTCTTGTTGGTCCATGTCGCTCCCCCTCTCTCTCTTCTTTCTTCCATTTTTAGACTATAGAACAAACAAACAAACTTTTTTTCAAAGAGTTACCAATTGGACAAGCAGGCCAGTCTGACATTCAGCCCTTCTAAGGACCCATCTTTCAGAGTACTAATGCTTATTATCAATAATGCATGTTACATTTATAATTTTTTTTTTTTAAATGCATTATAGAATAATGCATACACACATCATGTATACACAATCATACACACTCAAACACACACACACATACACTCTAACATTCTCAAACACACACACTTATATACAGACATATATAATACATACATAACGCACTTACACACAATGTACGCACACATACATATACCCATATGCATACATAATACTTACATACATCCACACATACACCAGCACACACACATTCCATACGTACACACCTACACATGTATGCTGGCACATACATACATACATACATACATACATACATGCATACATGCATACTTGCATACATGATATACACACCCACAATCACACACACTCATTTACAATCCCACATACACCTGCATACACACATATATACATAAATATACATACACCCACATACTTACACAAATATATACATAAATATGCATACACCCTCATACTTACACAAATACATACATAAATATACATACACCCACATACTTACACAAATACATACATAAATATACATACACCCTCATACTTACAAACCTAAATATACATACACCCCAGTACTTACAAACTTAAATATACATACAAAAATCCACATACATAAACATACAAACATACATACACCCATAATCACTCATACATACACACATATACTCACATAATATATACATACACACACACATGGATACATATATACATACATACACACAGCCATTACTACAAACCCACATATTTACACACATGCATACTTGCATGCCTACATACACACACACACACACACACACACACACAAACACCCACATACTTACAGGGCTACATATACATACATACATACATACATACATCCACATACATACATAAATATGCGCGCACATACTTACACAGCTTCATATACAGTTGTATATAATAGTTGTAGTCAAGGTTAGAAGTTGATTGTAGATGAGTCCGTCCATAACTAGGCTGTCCCTGGAGAACACACAAAATGTCTGCCACCGTCCGTTGAGTCAGAGTTTATGTTGTATTTAGTACGCTGTTGATGAAGATTGTCGTAGACACCTTCAGTTGTATTTGTGTGTCTTTTCCATTCCTCCCGATATGCTTTCTAGTTGCATTTTGTATAGTATTGAGCACTTCTTAGGACGGAAAAGAGTTGTTGAGATGAAAGAACAGTGGAAGGGATATGGGAAGACAACTTTAGAAATTCGCATCATTCTTCTTTGGCATGGGGAGTGCTTGAGATTCACTGCTGCAGATATTACTGGCCTCAGTTCTCTCACATCTGACTTCTCTTTCCAGTTCAGGACTGCCTCTCTATCATCATCATCATCTGCAGATATCACTGGCCTCAGTTCTCTCACATCTGACTTCTCTTTCCAGTTCAGGACTGCAAGTATTTGTAGGTCTGCCTCTCCATCATCATGATTTGCATCTGGGTCTGCTCTTGTGAAACTCCTTTGTATGGGATGTTTTCATCTCTCTGTTATCTGCCATTCTCCCTATATACCTCAGCCATTGCAATCTCTATATTGCATCTGGGTCTGCTCTTGTGAAACTCCTTTGTCTGGGATGTTTTCATCTCTCTGTTATCTGCCATTCTCCCTATATACCTCAGCCATTGCAATCTCTATATTGCATCTGGGTCTGCTCTTGTGAAACTCCTTTGTCTGGGATGTTTTCATCTCTCTGTTATCTGCCATTCTCCCTATATACCTCAGCCATTGCAATCTATTATCCCCCCCCCCCCTTTTTTGGTGCAGTTAATTAATGGTGATTTCAAAAGACTATCAATGTTGTTGTTGGTTCTCACTCTCTGTTCTCCACTCTGTTGATCTTTGTTGTCACCAGAGATTCAGCATTTTTTTTAATTTTTAAAGTTATACTACAGGTTTCAGAGCCATATAGGACAGTTAGTCTTATCAGGTTTATACACACACACACACAAACACACACACATATAAATATAGAGAGAGGGAGAGTTGGAGTCTGTGGTTTGGGCATTGCGAACATGCTTCGTAATGCTTGGATCCTGTGTTCAATCCCGGCTGTGGACAGTTTGTCTTGCAGTTGCTTCAATAGTGGTATCGAGAGCTGAACGTTAAGGAAAGAGTGGCAAACTATTGAACGTAACATTTGCCTAGAAAACCCACAGAAGCCAAAAAATTCTGGGGTTGGTTCTCTAACTGTATATATATGTTGACATACATATATATATATATATATATATAATATATATATATATATATATATATATATATATATATATATATATATATATATATATATATATATATATATATATACACACACACACGCACGCACACAGAGAGAGAGAGAGAATGAAGTCTCTTAGTGACAACACCAACCACATATTTTGTTCATTAAATTTTTGATAATTCAATTTTTTTTTAAAGAATTATTTTTGTACTTTCCAATCGTAGCTGTTATGTTAAAGTCTGGGAAATTCAGTGTCTTTATGTTCATATGTTTTAATTTCTAATACTTAAATAATCCAAAAAGCATTTCCAATAAGTAAAATATTAAAGTCTTAATTTCTCAGATTTGTAAATTGTGCTGTCTGTTTTTTCCAGACATGAGGAATTTATCTTGAATATTCTGTGGGCCGCTCTGATCACATGATTGTCAGTGACAGGATGTCCGTGTCGACAACTAACTCTTCTGATCTAGGAACAGCTCAAGTGGACGTGTCATTGGCTACGCAGCCGAACCTGGAGCCTCCGCCGTTAACTACTCCAGTAACTGCCTGCGGTCAGAACATTCTTTCATCACAGTGCACAGTGGGTGGGTTTCAGGGCCAGAAAATTGTTTCATCACCATCCACCCTGACTGAATTACAAGTCCAGAATCTTGTTTCATCACAGTCCACCCCTCTTGAATTACAAGGCCAGAGTATTGTTTCATCACAGTCAGCACTGGATGGGTTTCAGAGCCAGAACTGTGTTTCGTCACAGTCCACATTGAGTGGGTTTCCGAACCAGAATCTTGTTTCATCACAGTCCACCCTGCCTATTTTACAAGGCCAGAGCATTGTTTCATCACAGTCCACATTAAGTGGGTTTCAGAGCCAGAATCTTGTTTCGTCACAGTCCACGTTGAGTGGGTTTCAGAGCCAGAATCTTGCTTCGTCGCATTCCACCCTGCCTGGATTACAAGGCCAGAGCATTGTTTCGTCACACTCCACATTAGGTGGGTTTCAAGGCCACCCTACTTATGGTATTCACGTGGCTAACAGTTCCCTGACACTGCCACCATCAATTAGCCAGGTAAATTATACTTTGGATGTTTGGGGTGTTAGTCTTTGGCTTTATACCTTCGTGTGTGCAAGAGAAAAGAAAGAAGAGAATGTGCTTCCCCCCTTTTCCCCCCCCCCCCCACCATGTTTTAGTTTTTTTTTAAACCAGGTCAGTGTTTTTCTTCAGTATTGTAGAATGAGCAGGAAGTTTGTAAGAATGTCATCGAACCACATTTGTTATCGGTGGGATGTCATCAAAACACTGGGAGCTAGATATGTTTGCTATCAATGGGATGTCATCAAAACACTGGGAGCTAGATATGTTTGCTATAATTGGGATGTCATCAAAACACTAGGAGCTAGATATGTTTGCTATCAATGGGATGTCATCAAAACACTAGGAACTAGATATGTTTGCTATCAGTGGGATGTCATCAAAACACTGGGAGCTAGATATGTTTGCTATCAATGGGATGTCATCAAAGCTCTGGGAGCTAGATATGTTTGCTATCACTGGGATGTCATCAAAGCTCTGGGAACTATATATGTTTGCTATCAATGGGATGTCATCAAAACACTGGGAGCTAGATATCTTTGCTATCAGTGGGATGTCATCAAAGCTCTGGGAACTAGATATGTTTGCTATCAGTGGGATGTCATCAAAGCTCTGGGAACTATATATGTTTGCTATCAATGGGATGTCATCAAAACACTGGGAGCTAGATATCTTTGCTATCAGTGGGATGTCATCAAAGCTCTGGGAACTAGATATGTTTGCTATCAGTGGGATGTCATCAAAACACTGGGAGCTAGATATGTTTGCTATCAGTGGGATGTCATCAAAGCTCTGGGAACTAGATATGTTTGCTATCAGTGGGATGTCATCAAAATACTGGGAGCTATATATGTTTGCTATCAGTGGGATGTCATCAAAGCTCTGGGAGCTAGATATGTTTGCTATCAGTGGGATGTCATCAAAGCTCTGGGAGCTAGATATGTTTGCTATCAGTGGGATGTCATCAAAGCTCTGGGAGCAAGATATGTTTGCTATCAGTGGGATGTCATCAAAACACTGGGAACTAGATATGTTTGCTTTCAATGGGATGTCATCAAAACACTAGGAGCTAGATATGTTTGCTATCAATGGGATGTCATCAAAACACTGGGATCTAGATATGTTTGCTATCAGTGGGATGTCATCAAAGCTCTGGGAACTAGATATGGTTGCTATCAGTGGGATGTCATCAAAACACTGGGAGCTAGATATGTTTGCTATCAATGGGATGTCATCAAAGCTCTGGGATCTAGATATGTTTGCTATCAGTGGGATGTCATCAAAACACTGGGAGCTATATATGTTTGCTATCAATGGGATGTCATCAAAACACTAGGATCTAGATATGTTTGCTATCACTGGGATGTCATCAAAGCTCTGGGAACTAGATATGTTTGCTATCAGTGGGATGTCATCAAAGCTCTGGGAGCAAGATATGTTTGCTATCAGTGGGATGTCATCAAAACACTGGGAACTAGATATGTTTGCTTTCAATGGGATGTCATCAAAACACTGGGATCTAGATATGTTTGCTATCAGTGGGATGTCATCAAAGCTCTGGGAACTAGATATGTTTGCTATCAGTGGGATGTCATCAAAACACTGGGAGCTAGATATGTTTGCTATCAATGGGATGTCATCAAAGCTCTGGGATCTAGATATGTTTGCTATCAGTGGGATGTCATCAAAACACTGGGAGCTATATATGTTTGCTATCAATGGGATGTCATCAAAACACTAGGAGCTAGATATGTTTGCCATCAATGGGATGTCATCAAAACACTAGGAGCTAGATATGTTTGTTATCACTGGGATGTCATCAAAACACTGGGAGCTATATATGTTTGCTATCAATGGGATGTCATCAAAATACTAGGAGCTAGATATGTTTGTTATCAGTGGGATGTCATCAAAGCTCTGGGAGCTAGATATGTTTGCTATCACTGGGATGTCATCAAAACACTGGGAGCTAGATATGTTTGCTATCAGTGGGATGTCATCAAAGCTCTGGGAGCTAGATATGTTTGCTATCACTGGGATGTCATCAAAACACTGGGAGCTAGATATGTTTGCTATCAGTGGGATGTCATCAAAGCTCTGGGAGCTAGATATGTTTGCTATCACTGGGATGTCATCAAAATACTGGGAGCTAGATATGTTTGCTATCAGTGGGATGTCATCAAAACACTGGGAGCTAGATATGTTTGCCATCAATGGGATGTCATCAAAACACTGGGAGCTAGATATGTTTGTTATCACTGGGATGTCATCAAAACACTAGGAGCTAGATATGTTTGCTATCACTGGGATGTCATCAAAGCTCTGGGAACTATATATGTTTGCTATCAATGGGATGTCATCAAAACACTGGGAGCTAGATATCTTTGCTATCAATGGGATGTCATCAAAACACTGGGAGCTAGATATCTTTGCTATCAGTGGGATGTCATCAAAGCTCTGGGAACTAGATATGTTTGCTATCAGTGGGATGTCATCAAAACACTGGGAGCTAGATATGTTTGCTATCAGTGGGATGTCATCAAAGCTCTGGGAACTAGATATGTTTGCTATCAGTGGGATGTCATCAAAATACTGGGAGCTATATATGTTTGCTATCAGTGGGATGTCATCAAAGCTCTGGGAGCTAGATATGTTTGCTATCAGTGGGATGTCATCAAAGCTCTGGGAGCTAGATATGTTTGCTATCAGTGGGATGTCATCAAAGCTCTGGGAGCAAGATATGTTTGCTATCAGTGGGATGTCATCAAAACACTGGGAACTAGATATGTTTGCTTTCAATGGGATGTCATCAAAACACTAGGAGCTAGATATGTTTGCTATCAATAGGATGTCATCAAAACACTGGGATCTAGATATGTTTGCTATCAGTGGGATGTCATCAAAGCTCTGGGAACTAGATATGTTTGCTATCAGTGGGATGTCATCAAAACACTGGGAGCTAGATATGTTTGCTATCAATGGGATGTCATCAAAGCTCTGGGATCTAGATATGTTTGCTATCAGTGGGATGTCATCAAAACACTGGGAGCTATATATGTTTGCTATCAATGGGATGTCATCAAAACACTAGGAGCTAGATATGTTTGCCATCAATGGGATGTCATCAAAACACTAGGAGCTAGATATGTTTGCTATCACTGGGATGTCATCAAAGCTCTGGGAACTATATATGTTTGCTATCAATGGGATGTCATCAAAACACTGGGAGCTAGATATCTTTGCTATCAGTGGGATGTCATCAAAGCTCTGGGAACTAGATATGTATGCTATCAGTGGGATGTCATCAAAACACTGGGAGCTAGATATGTTTGCTATCAGTGGGATGTCATCAAAGCTCTGGGAACTAGATATGTTTGCTATCAGTGGGATGTCATCAAAATACTGGGAGCTATATATGTTTGCTATCAGTGGGATGTCATCAAAGCTCTGGGAGCTAGATATGTTTGCTATCAGTGGGATGTCATCAAAGCTCTGGGAGCTAGATATGTTTGCTATCAGTGGGATGTCATCAAAGCTCTGGGAGCTAGATATGTTTGCTATCAGTGGGATGTCATCAAAACACTGGGAACTAGATATGTTTGCTTTCAATGGGATGTCATCAAAACACTGGGAGCTAGATATGTTTGCTATCAATAGGATGTCATCAAAACACTGGGATCTAGATATGTTTTTGCTATCAGCTCTGGGAACTAGATGTGTTTCTAAGTGGGCTCTGGGAACTAGATATGTTTGCTATCAGTGGGATGTCATCAAAACACTGGGAACTAGATATGTTTGCTTTCAATGGGATGTCATCAAAACACTGGGAGCTAGATATGTTTGCTATCAATAGGATGTCATCAAAACACTGGGAGCTAGATATGTTTGCTATCAATAGGATGTCATCAAAACACTGGGAGCTAGATATGTTTGCTATCAATGGGATGTCATCAAAACACTAGGAGCTAGATATGTTTGCTATCAGTGGGATGTCATCAAAACACTGGGAGCTAGATATGTTTGCTATCAGTGGGATGTCATCAAAACACTAGGAGCTAGATATGTTTGCTATCAGTGGGATGTCATCAAAACACTGGGAGCTAGATATGTTTGCTATCAATGGGATGTCATCAAAACACTGGGAGCTAGATATGTTTGCTATCAGTGGGATGTCATCAAAACACTGGGAGCTAGATATGTTTGCTATCAGTGGGATGTCATCAAAGCTCTGGGAGCTAGATATGTTTGCTATCACTGGGATGTCATCAAAGCTCTGGGAACTATATATGTTTGCTATCAATGGGATGTCATCAAAACACTGGGAGCTAGATATCTTTGCTATCAGTGGGATGTCATCAAAACACTGGGAGCTAGATATCTTTGCTATCAGTGGGATGTCATCAAAACACTGGGAGCTAGATATGTTTGCTATCAATGGGATGTCATCAAAACACTGGGAGCTAGATATGTTTGCTATCAGTGGGATGTC